GGAGGGAGATGTTGATCACTGAATCTCTGTTCATCGAATAGGAATAACTCAATACCAAAACCATATTTTTTTTCCTTCACTTTCCCAGTGGAACATAGAGCTTCATGCTAGTGGCCTGAAGTTTCTGTAGCACAGCTGGCCTCATGCCCAACCTTTCCTCTTAACCAGCTTTATTTCTGGCTTAGCGAGGTAAAGGAGTGCGTCGGTCGGGGATAGAACCCCGGACCATGTGCATGGTCGGCGAGCGTCCTAACCGCTATGCCACCGACGCAAAACCATATGTATATGGAAAACATTATCACTACGAATAAGACCAAAGAATGAGAAATAATGAAATTATATAAGCGAAGTTGGGGAGTTAGTTATTTGAGTGAGCACTTTGATACAATTATGCGCAACAGATTGAACTTGGTTATATATACACAGACTCTTTACCTCGCTATAACCTACACCTCTTCAAATGATAACGTTTTTCTGCATTGATGAGAGATATCCAAGCTAATTGGCTGAGTTTTCAACGTAAAACTTTGCGCGCAGAAGTGCACCATATCAAGTTAACACACTCCGTTTTTTTATACTATGCCCGGCGCTCTTCACCGGGTTGACTGTCCATTGGATGACAGTCTAGGGGAGATGGCTAAACCCTGATTCAAAACCGCCAACGACTGGCGTATGAAGCTCACTGGAGCTCACCGGCAGACGTATGGACAAAGGGCTTGTTGGATGTCCTGGATGTCTGGCCCCATTCAAAAAGGCGTATGAACCGAACCCCGGTCACCGGCTGCCAATGGATAGTGGACTCCCTACTCCACTCCTAATGCCTTGTAGGTCACACTTGGTTGTGTAAAGGCTAGAGCTGCACTCTCAAACAAAAGGCCGAGCGATTCTGGGGACATCACTCGTACCAAATTCCTACGAAACTTCATAAACTCTCTTCATCAGATCGCCGCGCCTGGGCAGCGATGATTCGAGATGTTCATGAAACCGGCTCATCCTTCCGTAGGAGATAGCCGAAGTAAAGTAAGTAAAGTAACACACTCCGTATAGCATACAAAGGTAGAGAAAACAGATTCAAAAGTACTATAATAAGCAGAAAGAAGGAGAAAGAAGAATTACAAGGAAAAACATGAAAGTTTAATGGATATATGAGACTACAAAGAGCGGATGCATTTGCACCACTGAGAAAGATTTTGAGACATAGTGTGGCCAGCGCTACTGATAAAATTTATCAGTAGTATACATAAAGAGAAGTTCATCAGCATAAAAGCACCAAATAGCAAAGGGATACATTTGATGTCAGAGAAGGCAAATGATACAGCGTTGTGGAGAGACGTGAAAGGAACACAGAGAAACACAGTATGAACGCGATATTTATCATAACGCGAAGATCTGTGCAAATTGTGCGCTGAAGATAAGGTGTACACAATCCGCCAATATATAGAGATACCAATTTCCAAATAAACATTCCTTTACCAAGTCTTTCGTCTTCTACCCTTTGAATATCACCAATAGTCTCTCTCCACTCACTAGTTCTTAACATCCCAAAACACCCCAAACAGTGAGGCGGTCTACACCTCGTTAAATGACTGGTTCAAGCCAGCTGTCAATGACCTTATAGACTGATGCCAGCTTTTAGCTTGACCACATCCAACTCTTTTACAGATATGACCTGATTTCACATTCTCTATCACAGAGAAGAATAAACATTATAGCTAAACGAAGTATTTCGAAATTGCCTGAAAAATTTGAAATTGGACAATAAACTGTATACTAAACAGCATCAAATAAAATAACAGTGTCTCGCTGTGTGCGTTCAAAGAAATTTCAATCTTTTCGATACAATGAACCAGTGACAGTAAGTTTTCCGATTTCTTGGAATTCAACTCATTTTTTTATGTAGCACTGCCTATTTGAGAACTACTAAGAACCAAAGAGCTTTAGACTCCCTTATTATCATTTCATTTTGGGACTGCACAGTGATTTGATTGCATCAGTATGAAACATTCACTAAATGGAGACTAAATAACATCGGTTCACATTAAACAGTGGTGTAATACTTCATTACGCAATAAGAATGTTACTGATGAGTAACCCCCAACACTTTTATGTACTACTGTAGAGAAGAATGTAGCAAGTTATAGAATGAATTTCAGTTTTAATTACATAGAACTGTTAGAACATATTTCCATTAGGTAGTTTCATGTTTGTAATAAGCTACTTATAAGTTTGTTGGTATTAGATGGTTAAAGGTAATCAGCAGGAAGCCTTGGACCTAGGTTTTGTGCTAGTTGGTACTCACCAGTCAGCAAGGCGTATCTGCAACCTTGAAGGAATTCATATCCCTTTTGAGATTCGAACCCGTGTCGCCCATTGCTGCAGTCACAGAGGTTACAACTGAGCTATTAGGGTTCGCGATTCACCTCCTGTAGAACTTATAGGTCTATTTGGACCAATATTATAGCGAACGCAACAGTGAGACGCATGTCACTCGCGCAGCCAGTGAGTGAATCTCAGGCACGCATTCGTACTATATGATAACCACCTGGTAAAGTTTTTTTATACTATTCCCAACTGAATTGAATATAGACTGAGATATATCTAACGACGACACATATATATATGCAATCGATTAGTGGCATATGAAGATAGTGCCAAAGTCACTTCAATATTTCGTCTTCTTCAGAACATCAAAATGGTGTTAAGACCCCTTACCGATTTCAAAATGCCGAATTCTCTTGAAGTTAACTTTAGAAAAACTTCATTTACTATATTTTGGAAATCAACCTTCACATCATTTGATCATATTTGAGCTTTTATGGGAGATATCTAAAGGCAGTTACCTCTTTCACTTATATATGCGACTGCAAGCAGGCAGAGCACAACTGAGGAAGTGTCAATGGTAGAATTGGAAAACCAAGACAGACCTTCATTAATATGAAATCAGTGTGAAAATCTGTTGCATTCAGCATAAAGAACGAGACTCAGATTTCCAACACTAATGTAAGATCAGTTCTTCTTCTATGTGGTTTAGCAATCTACTGCCCAACAAATATGCCGAAGGAGATGCATCGGACACAAGCTGAGTAGGCTGTTGAGTGACACCGGGCTCTCCAGTGGAACCTTTATTGGAAGCAAGCGACAATTTGCGTGAGGGTCCGATGCTGACATGAAGGAGATGAAGGCTTATGGGCAACAGTCAAGCCAGCTAGAGAGGAGTGAAGAGAATTAGATGAAATAGAGCTGTACTTTTGACGCCCTATGTTTGGCTAGAGACCCAAGAGGACAATAATAATACAACGCCCTAAAAAACTCCACGTATTACATAATGAAAGTCGGCTTCCACATTACCTTATCTCTCTACCTGCACGTTAATACGCTTAGATTTGATCAACAAAGATTCGGTGACCAACCTCTCCCTCAATTACTTTACCCTATATTACTTCGGTGTGTGATCACATGCTGATGAATGCATTACAACACTAACTGCTTTCATTATGAATTATACATGCATAACGTGCCTTCTCACTTCATCCTCGTTTTACTTCATAAAAGTGACTCATCACCGCTGACCTGACAAATACCCTCTTCAAGGACTTTCTTGAAACGTATAACCACATAAGGACAGAAATCAGCCAACAGATGTATGTTACAATATTTTAGAAACACCTACAACCAGAAGTGAATGACTGAAGGTGGAATCAAAACACGAACCACGCCACTACTCCAAACTCCAGCTATATACAAGCTGAGCTACGAAAAACCAACTATTCACCAGGTTATTATTTCACTGCAACCACCAAAGGCAATGTCCAGTTGCCAAGGCAACGAACTAAACGTTACTGTCTCTTAATCACTACACTAGCTGTTCGGCTAAGAGTATTTACCAACACTTGAGCGGATTAGTGCTTCAAATAGTGCGGAAACCTAGTTTCTTATAACTGGAAGAATTATGCCCTATGAACACCCCCACCTCTGAATTACATATAAAGATGATATCCGATATGTAGAGTAGTATCCTACATGATTTGTTAGGTTTTAAAGAAAGTACTCAGAGCGTGTAACAAATATCCAGGGTTTATAACACCAGCGATCATCTACTCACTAGAAAAAGCCCACAATTCTGAGCTTCAGTTAGTCTACCTTCATAAAATAAGAAAGTCTACATGGATAATACACCTGAACTGACAGGAAGACTCTATAATATCCAGACCTCGCGGACGATTTATCTCCTATGTCAGCAAAAATACTCGAAGATATACAGGTAATAACTGCCAAATTGGCCGAGGAAGTAGCGGAGGCACGACTTCAAATGAACAGAGAAGACCAGGGTGGAGACAACTAACCAAGAGATACAAGCACCAATCACCATCAACGGGAATCTAGACGAAGTCACTGCCTTCTCCAATCTAGGGCAGGTGTGGACAGTAGTAACAACAGTTAACTTCCTCTCACTTAAAAGAATATCTAATGAAATACGTAAACAAGAAACTTTAGGTCTATGAGTGTGAGGTTTAGAAGCACTTAAACAAAAGTAAATCGTGACATTAGGTCAAAAGAAAAGCCCTTAGTCTTCAAATAAGTAAACTGAACACAGCCCTGATAGTCTCTCGATGGCCAATACAAGTGAAAGTTAACGGTTAAGATAGTCCCACACAAGGTATTCCCGAAGTTCGTGTGTTCGTCTGAGGCGTCAGGACTGCCTAGATGACGACATGATAGGCCGGCTGGAAACGAAATTCATATTTAACGGCCACAACCCGATTCTTCTTGTGAACTATTTTGCCAAATAGTGACAAGATTCTGGCAAAAAAAGGAATTACGATAGCGAGAGAAATATATTGCATTTCTTTCAGACATGAGAATATCACTGATAAGAATTACTTAACTAAGTTGCTTCAACATTCCACAGCCTAATCGAATACACTGTAATCAAAATCCCTAACACCATTAAAATTCATTCTTTTTCGGAATTATCCGCATAGTTTGGTTACTACAAAATGTGGAGACTAGTAATAATATACCTTCTCGTCATATAAATCAAACACTCAATCAACTTGTTCGTGAAAGTCGTATCACTTAACTACCGCTTCGCAACCTGAACAACTGATGGGGTTTCATGCACAAATCTGCGTAGGCATTTGTTTCAACCACCTGACTGGGATTCAGTCCCACTATCAGGCTAGGAAAGCAGTAGAAGCATATACAACACGCACAGATATTGAAAACAAAAACAATCGAAGCCACTGTCTTCTGAGACGAGTCTTAGCACGGAGGAAAGCTTTCATTTTGAAAAGCAGAATCACCCGTTATTAGCAGAACAAGACTAATCAGTTAATTAGCTGGTAAAAGAAACCAGATCAATGTTTTCAGTCACTCAAAGTCATCGGGGAATCTCATCCAACAATTAAGAACTTCCATAGATATGTAAAAAGGAAAATCCTATTTCTTAAAGTCAAATATTCTATGTTTTTTATCAAATGTACAGCTAACTAATAACTTTGGGCCTGGCAAGATCACGAGCTTTCTTTAGCCAGTTGTTCTGCTTTTTCCAATACATCTTCAATTGCTCCGACCATGAAGAAGGCAGCTTCTGGTATGTGATCCAATTCACCTATGAAAGAAAGATAAGATTACATTTCAAGATTCATACCGTTGATGATCATTTTGAAACCTTTGATTGAATCTTTCAATGAAACCAACTTCCCTTCACGTCCGATAAAGACTTCAGCAACTTGGAACGGTTGACTCAAAAATCTTTGAATCTTTCGAGCACGAGATACTGTTAGCCTATCTTCTTCAGACAGTTCATCCATACCCAAGATAGCAATGATATCTTGCAGTGAGCGATTTTCCTGCACAATATATAATTAGTAAACTAATTTACCTGCAAAATCTTTTGCACTCCACGAGCAACAGAATAGTGTTCTTCGCCAACAATATTAGGATCCAGGATACGACTGTTGGAATCCAGTGGGTCAACAGCCGGATAAATACCCAATTCAGCGATCGCACGACTTAAGACAGTTGTTGCGTCCAAATGAGCGAATGTAGTAGCAGGTGCAGGATCGGTTAAGTCATCTGCAGGGACATAAATGGCCTGCACTGAAGTAATTGATCCCTTTTTGGTGGACGTAATCCGTTCTTGCATACTACCCATGTCAGTAGCTAGAGTTGGCTGGTAACCTACAGCGCTAGGAATACGACCCAGCAATGCAGACACTTCAGAACCAGCCTGTGTGAATCTGAAAATATTATCGACAAACAACAACACATCTTGACCCTCTTGGTCACGGAAGTACTCTGCAACAGTTAGACCTGTTAAAGCGACACGAGCACGAGCCCCAGGAGGTTCATTCATTTGTCCATAAACAAGTGACACCTAGGATATTTGTCACTACTTACAGAATAATAACTTACTTTGGAATTATTACCCTTAAGGTCAATGACACCAGTAGTTATCATTTCGTGATACAAATCATTACCTTCTCTAGTTCGCTCTCCTACACCTGCGAACACAGAGTAACCACCATGAGCTCTAGCAATGTTGTTGATAAGTTCCATAATTAACACAGTTTTGCCTACGCCTGCGCCTCCAAAAAGACCTAAGGGCAAGTTACACGTTACATGTGAATCTTACCAATCTTTCCTCCTTTCACATATGGAGCCAGAAGATCAACTACCTTAATTCCTGTTTCCAAGATTTCTTGCTCAGTACTCATTTCGATGAAGTCAGGGGCCTCTTGATGAATACCTGACATCATCTTAGTGTTGATTGGCCCTCTTTCGTCAATCGGCTCTCCAATGACGTTCATAATACGACCAAGTGTCTCCGGTCCCACAGGAATACGGATAGGACCACCAGTATCAACACACTGCTGACCACGAACAAGACCCTCTGTACCATCCATAGCAATCGTACGCACAGTATTTTCACCGAGGTGTTGAGCGATTTCAAGGATTAACCTCGGAGTACGGCCTTTCACTTCCAAAGCATTGAGAATAGGCGGTAAATTCTCATCGAACTGTACGTCTACGACGGCACCAATAACTGCCACAACACGACCAGTTGAGCCTAATTTAGCAGCAGGACTGGCAGCAGCAGCCGCCCTCGCTTCTCCTGCATATCCACGTCCTTCAAGACATAGAATTATTCAGAAAAATGGGACATACTTTGTGCTGTAAGTGTGGCTGGACAAAACGATGAGAGATGAGAAGTAGGCCTGAGGAACTTCGTTACATTACAGATAGACCTCAACAAGCTCATAATGGCGACGTACGTCGAAAGTAGCGGTCTATCTGAGCGGGCGCCAACTCCCTCCGCAGCGCACAAACAAAAAAAGCAAAGCAGCTTACGAAGTTTCGTTCTTTATAAACTATACTTAAACACAAATCTGAAGTTTTCAGAGTTAAGTCTCATTTCCTTGCCTTGCTCAGTATTTCGATAAGACAGTCACTTTTCAGATTTTGATTCGTATTCATCATTTCTAAAATGTCCTGGGAGTCCTCAGACTTATCATGGAATGAACTAATTTATTACATGTTGCTTTCTAGTTCCCATCACATTTTGTGCGCACAAACTGCAAATAAAAGGAGATCAATTTCTTCACGTTTCGGCTCACCACTGCCTTTCGTAGTGCAGGAAGAAAATCATCCGCTACCTACAGGGAATTCCAATGTCTAGACGGGCAGACCACCGTTGATTCCAAACCTCCTCATGAGCAATCTCGTGTAACACACTTTGTGGAAAGCTCTGCGGAAATCTGAGAAAACAGTGTTAGTGGGTTTGGTGTTTTCCTTGCTGTGAGGCTTGTCAGGTATTAGCAACTTCTCAAAGAAGCATATGTCTGTAGACTAGTGCGTTCCGATTTTCACCTATGGCTGACTGTTTGACTAGTACGTTAGGTTTTTTTCTAGATGCAGTGCAGAGCTTCCTAGCCTCTTAAGATCTGGGAGTGATAAACACGTACCAGAACTTGTGTGTGAACCCAAGTGGTGCAAAAATCTCCCCATTTATCAACTGTGGCAAAACAGGTGGCTGGATGCACCACGCAGTCACCTGAAATGACTCCCAGAAGATTGCAAATGAGCTTCTACATATATGGTTTGTACACTTACGAGATTGGAGAAATGATGGCATTCACATCGGCTTTCAGCATCTTTGGTCGGCCAAGGCTTTAGGCCGTGGGTACCGCATCATTTTTGAACTTGAATGTATGTGCAATGTGATTACTGTTTACTTGTGGTGGAAGATATGTTTTTAAAGTTCGCTTCCTTATGATAGGAAGGAACCAAGTTTTAGTCTGGAGACGGGTTCTGAGAACTATGACGGGGTTGTTTGTTGATCTACTTGTAAGGAGCCAGTGAAAGGGGAGATTCTATCAGCTTTGGGATTTTCCCAGGCGACTGATAGTGTGCTGAAATCTGCAACCATTAGGTGCTGACACTATAATCCCGATGAACCTAGTCTGTTTATGCGAAAGTCGTCCGCCATATGGTCAGAATTAAAGCACACTGTGATCAAATATGTTTGTCCTATGGACTTCGGTCTGAAATGTATAATTTCTTATAGTCCACTGTTGTGCGCGAGAACTCCTGTGCTACATACAGCTAGGTTCCTCTTAAGGTGGGCACATACTCTGTAACACTGACAGTTTAAATGACATGCCCACTGAACGATAAGTTTCGATGGGAAAATTTCCTTGTCATTGATTTCAGGTGTTAGCCATGACTTCGTAGTACTGATTATACCCACTATTTCCAGGTTAGGCAGACTTTTCATCCCAGTCAATTTGTTCAGCAGACCACGGTCACCAGCGTCACGTACTATTAGTTCGTCATATCTCACTGACACCTCACTATTTTCCTGGGATTATAGCTGCTGAACAAAATCTTCGCTGACGGGGGAGGAATGCATCACTTCTTATTAGATAACCGCATGCTACGCGATAGGTGCAATAGGATGCATCACAGTGGGTGAGCCAGGCGAAATCCTTGAGCATACGTCGTTGCTAGCCATCATTTACATAGAATTACTCCAACAGTCACTTCCTCAGGTCTCATTAATAAGTCAAGCCTCCATCTCGTCATGATGAGAAATTTATTTTCACTCAGAATAAGAAAAGTATGGTAAGCAGAATGCTAAATATATTTAATAAAAAATAATAATGTCTGTACACAATTTTTGACGTAATTATATCCGCAGTGTTGAACTGCTGTGAGCAGGTTGACTGACGTTACCGGAGTTCTGCGAATAAGTGAACGAATTGTATTTTTGAATTCTTTGCAGTTAGAAAAAAGTAATATAAAAGTTAAGCGCTTTATATTTGCCTTCCTTTGATGAAAAAGATTCACTCTCCTTTCTTATTCTTTGGTCAAGACAGCATTCTTTTGTGGTTTTTACCATCACATACATTGTTCCCCTGTCAAGCAACTCACAAAGCAAATGACGCATTGATGTTTTGGCATCACTCCGAACTTTGGAAGATGTTTCACATATTCGATATTTGCTGTTAATTCATTTCAGAAAGGCGTGTTTTGCGGGTGTATTTACGTTTTTATATACATTTGTGTTTACATGTATTTACCAATTACAATCCTGTTAGCTAAATAATTGGCTCCTTTGTTACCTTCTATTTGTAATAATAATAATAATAATTTTTATTTCTGGAACAGAAACCAGCCATTTTTACAGGCATGAACAAATGTACACTAATTAGAACTTATAGAATATATATGATTTGTTAATCTAGAAATAGATTGAATACTGGTAAATTTGAGAGAAATATTTAAAAAGAAATGTACAAATAAGGCAATAGGTAATTTTCGAGATATGCTTTCAACTGAATAATTCATGAGAAATAGCATCAAATCAAAACTGTAATTGAAAAAAATACGGTATGTCAATTTCACGCGGGAATTATAAACGATTACGTTAATTGTGGAAGGTAAGTAGCATTTTTGTACAGGTGCTGGCGTGAAATATAAGAGATGCGGAATGAACAGTAATTGTAAGTAAAAGATTCATAGAGTGTTTGAAAGTCCATAAAACTTCAAATTCACCGGTAAGTACACCATAATTGTGACATTTCCAGTTGTATATGAGACCAACTTTGAACTTGTCGGCAGATTTCATGATAGAGGTGGTTCCGTTATTCACCAGGTGGGCTAGCAATATTCCGAGGATAGCGGCACTGTTTCAGTACCTTCGTTTAAGGCAGTACCTTTGAAAAGAGAAGAAGACACAAGGAAACCGACAGAGAGGTGCAGAAGTATATAATAGGTGTTAATAATTCAAAACATATGTAAAAACATGGGTTCATCATTTTTTTGTTTTTTCTTCATTTAAAAAATACTATTTCCCCCTGAGATTTTCTAGTGATGGAATTCTAGTCTTTCTTGCGAAAAGAAAATAAAAGTTTAAGTGAAAAAAGATGATAATTTTACCTACTTATATAGGTTGAATATGAGTTAAACACAAAAGTCAAAGTGCGTGAACTATGTAGAAGAAAAGCGAGGGCTTAATAATAACTACTGTTTTTCTGAAGTATACATTTAGGTGTCCTTCTGAAGTAGGGGACTCATACCATGTACTTGCATTCGAGGAGTTTGTTA